TGATGGTTTTGCAGTGCCCATATGTTGCGTGGCTGTTTTACCCTGATCTGTGATGTTTTGTGGTTTGTGTGCCATACTGCCGCGCGAGGATACCGCGAAGTCGGCTTAGCCACAGAAGAACGCAAACTGAAGGGACCCTTCCATGGCATCTGCAGTGTGGAGAGTGTCATGGTTCCAACCGCATCCATCTATGCCAAGGTTTTGCCGGGTGCTGAGTGGCCGTGCGTTGGTGGCGTGCTCTTGTGAATACTCTGTGCCTCGGATTTGCCACATTGGACTCCCCACCCCGTCAAGAGAGCGTGGAGTCATACCATGGGACGAAAGAAGTCTTAGCAGCATCCCCTCCATTGTCCTGAAAGCGCCAACTCTTTAAGAGGTTCAAGAATTTCAAGATGCAGCTTTCGTGCAGCATGTGATGGATCTTTCCTGCCTGCATCGGCGCTGGTCTCCTTTGATGTATCTTAAGGGTCATTTGGAAGGCTTTTTGAAAGGCTTTTTGAAGGCTTCAGAGGATGCTTTAGGCTCGAGCAGCTCTTGAAGGTTCAGGGAGGTTCGGGGGGGCCAAAGGCGTTTCGGGGGTTTAAACCTCTCACAACTCGAATGAAGCTTCCACGAATTGCCTGCCTTGATGCTGTTAAGGGGAGCGTAACCTGCTTGGAATATCTTGGCATCAGGGAATTGAAGAACTTTGCTAGCTGAATCCAGTTCTGAGTCGCCAAGACTTCGCATGCTGGCCGCTTTCGCACGTCCTCCCGGCTGTCGTCCACCACCACAAGTCCTCCTTGGCGCTTTTGATTGGTCAATTGAGGACAAGAGGCTTTAAGCAACTTTAAGCGAAGCCATCGGATGATTCCATGGCCAAAGCACGGCAAAGCTGAAGACACGAGGTCGGCTCGCCCAGCACATTGGCCAGAGCGGACCTGGTCTCCCGAAACGTTGTGGGAATTTTCAGGTTCAGGGAGTTCTGCCCTTGTGGGCCCTGTGGAGTAGTACGCTTGGCTGCTCCAGAAACTTCTCAAGTCCATAAAGGTGGGAAGATTCGGATGCTTCGGGCCACCACCGGATGCTTTAACTGCCCCTACCCGAAATTGAGCAAGGCAGCTGAAAACACCCTGAGGCTCATGAACTGCACGCCCTCCGTTTGGGCAAGACATTTCAAGATGCGCCTTGAGTTTGACAGAGTCCCTCAAGTCCCTAAGTGGTCAGGGTCCGCTAGCAGCCGTGCTCAAGCCCGGGCACAGGAGATCGTTGACCGTCTGCTCCGGTTCGGCGGTGAGGATCAGCCTCCCACAATGATGTGCACTTGAGGTAGATTTCCGAATGTCGCATACACGTCATGTAGATTAGGGTGTCTGCCAGCAACCGAAAGAAACTTAGGTTTGCGCTCGAGGTTTGAGGGTTCAGGGCAGGGAGTGGCGAACTGCCAGCCTGCGAAGGCAACTGTACTCAAAAGTTTTCTCCCGACTGTAAACGGTTCATCCCACCTAAGACCTGGATGCAAACAACACTCATGAACCCCAAAACAGACCTGTAAGGTGTCCCCAAGTTTTGGCTGGTGCATGCTAATGGGCCTGGAATGCAGTTCATGTCGCCTCTAAGCTCTGCCCACTCACATGTGGAATGTCACCCTGGTCCAACCCATGTCCTCTTATGCTTGCATGTGCTGACACCGTACATGGCTGTTTTTTTTGCATCCAGACATCCGACAGTCTTGACAAACGAGCTTGCAGCGAGGACACGACCGTAAATGCCAAAACCACGAAGCCTAAATTCAACAGTGCCGATGCTGAATGACACTGCAATCAGGGTGCTCGCCACACAGGCGCCGGCATTCCAGCTTTCTCTTGGCCATGAGGTTTGCGAAGGATCCAGGCTTTAGGGGTCATGTAGGGTGTGGGAGGGGATGTTGGGGATGTTAGGGATGTTGGGTGCCCGTCAATCGCATCCTGCAGGCTTCACGGTGTTTTGCCGATGCAGCGGCATCACGCCGTTGTGAATCAACTATGAAGTCTGAAGGGTTTTTGGGCTTCTAGGCTAAGGTTTCAAACATAAGGCATAATTTAATTAGACGTCGTGACTTTACAGCATCTACGAAACTCACACATTCAACGTGGAAAATCCTATCTTGCTGGAGACTGAGTCTCGTCCATAACCCTCAGTTGAGCCAGATTTTCAAGAACACCAGATTTCATTTAACATCAAGGGCTGTGGAATCTTAAATAGGTCATACTACACGAAGGCTAAGGAGGCAGGCGCTGGAAACTTTGAGCAGAAGTCCCCAGTGCAAGACACATGTTCTTAAGAAGCACGAAGACTTTTGTGTACACAGACCATACAGACATACTTACTAATCCCCCCCCCCCCCCCAAGAGTTTAGGACTTAAGAATTCCAAGTTTCCGGTCGTAACAATTTTGGCATGCAAACTTTACGTCTGCTTGTTTTACGCAAATTTTCTATACTATTCAGATTATGACCAACACAATGCAATGTCAACCACCTCCTGTATCCAACCCCTATGCCCCCCGTTGGCTTGGATTGTCCCCCAAATACACCCCAACATGGACCTGCTACAGCCTTCTATGGGTTCCCTCGTCTGGGCCGCTTTTGGACCCTGTGCACCCATATGACCCTTTACGGGCTTCGCCCCCCTAGAACTTGTGATTGGACCTCCTATGGACCCCTATGAATTTGCATGCACCTTATGCCCCCCCCCCCCCCCCCCTCCCCCCCCCCCCCTCCCCCCCCTCCCCCCGCTCCCCCCCAGTTCCTTGTTCTTGAGCGAGCCCTGTCATCTTTCTTTCAAGAAGGAGCTCTCTGTTGATGCTTAGACGACGGCGACAGACCTATTTTCTGATAAGATGAAGAGCAGCTTTCCATTTCTCATGCACAGGTGGCAGCACTCTCTTACCTCTTTCTCGTCCAGATATAAGATGTCTTAAGAATCTTGAGAAGAAGCTTGAAGGTTCCCTCATTTCTTACGAAAAGGAGGGATTCTCAACAAAAGATCAGGGAAATCATTGCTTGTGGAGCAGAGGATGGATCTTCTGCGACGTGAATAGCTGCGGGGTGTCCCCTCATTCAGAAATGCAAACGGATGAGGCTGTCCTCTCTGTCTCCAAAGGACTACCATACTCTTATTAGAATGTCAGAGTGTCGAATATTTTTTGTGCATCAGAAGACTTTCGCTTTCTTCAGGAGGATAGCAGAAACCCTACACTTTCTAACGCAGGGTAAGGGAGCGAAGCGGAAGGACTCAGGCAGCTCCATGTGCTTGCGGAAGACTGCTTGGAGGATTCGGATCTTTGTTGAAAACCACTCCATATGTCTGCAAGAAATCTGAATCCTCCAAGCAGTCTTTTGAAAGCATGCTAAAACATGTCTTTCCACTCCTGCGAGTTTCTGTTAATGTGGCACTGACTTTTGTAGAAGGAGGGTCTATAATCACAAGTTTCGAAAATTTATTCTGCGAACCGAGTTTGTTCAGGGTACCCGCTATTATCACAAGTTTTTTCCCGGCGTTTTTTTTTCAAGGGTTTGTGTTTTGGGTTGAGGGCTTATGCAGTAAGGCTTGAGGCCCTGAGGGTCTTGGGCTCCAGAGCGCGGAGAATCCAGAAATCTAAGCCCGGCCAGTTCCATGTAAAGCGTAATGGAATTTCATTACGAAACGAGGCCCCAAACAAATTTTGTGATAGGTAGCCCACGGGCCGGTCAGACGGTCTTTAGTAAGTTCGTCTGGCTACCCTCTATAATACCAAGTTTTTTTCGGATGAATTTGTGTTTTAAAGGGCTTGTGTTCTGGGTTAAGGGCTTCCGTAGTAAGGCGCTTCCGTAGTAAGGCTTGAGGCCCTGAGGGCCTTGGGCTCCAGGAATCTTAAAGGCTAGGCCTTGAGGTCCTAAAGGCTTGAGGCCCTGAGGGCGGTCCCCCCCCCTTCCCCCCAAATTTGTTTGGGGGGGTCGCCGCGCGTGCGTTTATAGAGGGTCCAAATTTGTTTGGGGGGGGGGGGGCCCATACTAAAAGACCGTGCAACATTATCATTCTTCAGGCTTCAAGACGGAATGAAAACTCTTCTGAAGGATATTCACACGAATAAGAGACAGACACGATGACAACCCCATCCGTTGGCACTTCTGACTGAGGGAGCCTCCCCGCCCCCCACTCAGTGCGAAGGGTGTGTATTCTCAACATAGAAAGAAGATGGACTCTGCTTCCCAAGCAATGATAACCGCTGCTTTTCAATGAACATGCACAGAGATCCCCTTGACATAGCCTGCGCTAGCAAGGTGCAATTAGAGTGTGTGCTGCCGCTGCAGGATAGTATATGAATAGATCGGCTGATGGTTCTTTTTTCGTGTTTTTTATTGTTTTTGTTCGTGCTTTTTTACGGTTTTAGGTGAGATTAAAGCCCTAAACCCTAAACCCTAAACCATGAAAAACACGAACAAAAAATCAGAAAGCATACGAAAAAAGAACCTGGACCCGAATAGATCTATCGTTGAATCATATGAATAAGAGTATTGTAGTTCTTCAGGCAAAGCAATCCCACCCGTTTGAATTCTGAATGAGTGAGTCGCCACAGCTCTTGATACGAATTGTTTGTATTCTCATCATGGGAAAGCAGATCTCTCTTTCCCAAACAATGATAGCCCTCCTCATCTTTTGTTGAGAACCAGAGCCCCGCCTCTATATTAGAAATGAGGGACCCTTCTTTCAGAAGAACCTATGGGTTTTATGGTTCGTAAAAGAAGAGAGCTCCTAACCCTGCTCGTTTATGCAGAAGCGCTTAGAAGATATCCGACTCTAACAAGCACTTCGTATGGCACTGGGAGAATTAAGGTCAAACCCAATCATGCGCAAAGCAAACCGATTACATTGTACATTCATGTACATTATACATATGTACATGTGTGTACACTAACGAATACTAACAACACAACACGTGCATACGAAAGACACAGGGTAGGAACTGCGAGCCGAGCCGAGACCAATAAGTCGCGCGGCACGCGCTCATGGCTGCGTTGTGCACGATGATGTCCTCCGCTCTCCAAACTCGAAAACACCTTACTGTAAATCCTGAAGCTCTTTTTGCAAGTTGCCAAATTGCTATCCAAAACTTCGTCCATTTTGGGTGGTCTCAGAAGGAGTTACAAAGCGAAACTCAGCACAAACATGCAAAGCCTCACTGCCGACAAAGGGCGAACACAATGACAATGCTTCGACTCCAGCAGCTGCTGAGCTAGTACGTGGCTTGAACCTTCAATTCCATTTTGGGAACAGCAGCCATGCACAAATCGTCAACAAGTCCTCGGCCACCTTGCTGCGAAACCTGATGCGTCGCTGTCAAGCGTCTACACTTTGCAAAGTTGTGATCAGGTTCCTTCAATGCTAGGCAGCATTCTGAGAACAAGGAACTGCCGGTTTCTGTGACAAGAATAACCCAAGCACCGTGGACCCCCAACCCCCCCCCCCCTCCAGCGGCGAAAACCGATTCAGAAAACAGCTCGGGCCCATTCAAGCAATTCTCTAATTCTCTTGCTTCCACACAGCTCCTGCCCCCACCCCAGCCCCGCCGCTCCACACCACATTCCAGCATGTTTCCAGGTTTCAACATGGGCCGCCCACGAGGGGCATGTATCCGGGTTGTTCAAGCTGGAGGGGAATCATGGGGGAAAGATCTCTCTCGGATCAGGGGCGGGGGGTTTGGTTGAAAAGGGCATTTTGATTGGATGCCAGTCTGTATTGGAGGAGATGACAGAGTTTTGGAGTACTCGAGTCCCAAAGCCGAAATTTGGCTTTGAACCTCCCATCATCGAATCACACAATCTCGGCGTTGGGAGGTGAGCTGATGCGATATGAGCCACCTAATGGAGTGGTGAGGAAGAATGCCAACAAGTGCAGCTACACGCGCATCCGAAGCAAAACCTCAAACACTCTCGACTCGCAAGCCCATCTCTGAAATGCGTTTGGCAGCATCGCTCGAATCACTGCGAGCGCTGCCGCCCAGTGTTGCCCTCGCTCTGCTGCACTGATGAGGGAACCTGATGAATTGAACGTGCCTAGTAGGATCTTACGCAACGCATGACACCCCAAATTTTGGGCCTCCTGCCCAGAAAAAAACGTCAAGGAGCCAAGGTCCTCTGCTCCACAACTGCACTATACTACACCCATCTGCATCCCCTAACATCCGTAGCTTGTTCAGGTTTTGCTCAACAGGCCTTTTTCAAAACTCGAGTCCGCAGGGGCTGAACGTGATCAAAAACGTGGGCGGCACTGTGATGTCAAGAAATCACACGAATGTTGCATGATATTGGTGGGCCGAGTCAGCCACATTGCAGCAGCGACGCTGAAGGAAATTGTGTCCCTCTTGACTTGCTGCGCGTCCATCTCACCGAAAAGAACCTTGAAAAGAAACCAGTCTTGGACAAATCAAGGCTGAACTCCAGATCGCTATGGCACCACCACCCACCACCAAACGACCTGGCTCTGCATCTTGCATCATCTTGCGGCAGACTCTTGCTAGTCGTGGAAAAACTCTCGCAGTAGTCTCGAGCTCAGGATACAAGGCTGTGAAAGGGCAGGATGGTGTTAGTGTTGAGGCCTATACGATAGCGTTTGCACCCTCTGCTAAGGAGTCCTAGACAGAGTGCCACAAGTCAACTCCCAAAATATTACAGTCTAGAGCTCGCCATCGTCGTCTGAGTTTGTTCCAACCCACTTTCATGGCTCTCCTCCAACTTACGCACGCAATGTCAAAACCTGCAAGACGGCGCCACTACCCAGGAAATGTCGTGATGGCATAAACCTAAGCAATTTGGTTCCGCGCCAAAACGCCCTGAAGCGCTGGATCCGACCTCGAGAACCCCAAACATCCCAACAGTCGACGTTCCTTCTTCTTGCTGCAGCCCAAGGGCAGCAGCCAAATGCCATTGTGCCCCTTTGGCACAGCAGCTGATGACCGAGTTGTATGAAACTGCATCCCTCCTCTTCAAGAACTTTGCAATCTCGATGGAAAGGGCTCCGGCAAGCCCCATGTGGCACGTGACAAACCCCTTACATCCCCACATTGTCCTGAGATGTCTCCGGGCCATTTCACCTAGTATGCTTGTTCAGGCTCGAAGGCAGCTTGAGCTGGAAAGTAACATTCACGTTCCGTTCTGAAGGGTCTTCTAGATCCAGTTGAGGCAAAGGAACCCTTGAGCAGCCAGTCCTGCTTGAAAAATGGCGTTTTTTTCTGCTTTGTCTTACCACCGGCCGTGACAAGGGGAGCCCCTGCATTAGAAACACCTGCGCGCTGTCATAAACCACGCAGCTGAAACCCCGAACCTGCAGCTTGGCATGTGAACTGCCTAGAAGTTCTAGAACTTTACAAGTTCTACAGGTGCTTACAGCTCGAAAAGTTCTACAAAGCTTCTCAACGTCAAAAAAGCTCGAAAAATTTCAAAAGTTCCACAAGTTCCACAAGCTGCCACAAGCTCTAAAGCCTCTGAAAGGCAGTTCTAGGAGCTCGAAAAGTTCCAGGAGACCCTAGAGGTGCAAAGCTTTACGGGTTTTCGGCCTTTCAGAGGGTTTAGAGATTTTAGAAATTAGCTTGTAGAAGTTGTTCCGAGAGTGCAAAAAGTCCTGAAAGCTCGAAAAGCTCCAAAAGTTCTAAAAGGTCGAACTTTCTACAAGTTCTAAACAGTTCCACAAGCTCTAAAAGTGCCAGAAAGTTCTGACAGTTGATCGAGAGTTCTATATGTTCCAGAAAGTCCGAAAACCTAAAAGTGTTCCAAAAGTTCTTAAGGTTTGTAAAATTCTAGCAGTTCAAAAAATCAAAACTTCGTTATCAGTTATAGGAAGTTCTGACTGGAAGCAGTGCATCCTGACTGCTGTAGGGAAGAGGTGATAAAAATCTAACAAACTCGAAGATCTAACAAACTCGAAGAAATTGTCACTTCGGAGACTCTCATCTAGAGACTTTGAAGCTCTGACAGTTCTAGAAGTTCTAAAACTTGTCTAAAACTTTTCAAAGTTCTACATGTTTCAATACAATACACGTACACGAAACTCCAAAACATCGAAGAGTTCTAATGGCTGTAAAAGTCTTAAAAGTTCCTGAAAAGCTCAAAACATTCTGTTCGAGATGTTCTGAAGGTAGCCCAAAAACAGCGAACACACACCGGAATTCACCCAAAAAAATCTCACGCACCCCAAACACAACCAATGCAGTCCTACGCGCCCCGACTAGAGCATTATGTGAACCTTGAACTAAACACCCTCCTCGCCTAGCCTAGCCCCAGGCACTTGTTCACATGGAGCGCCAACCCGCCGGGTGGCCAAAAAGCTGCAGCCCGAGCTCCCACTTCTCCTCAAAGCAGCAACCGCATTTGGGATGTAGAGCGTCTCTGGGGGTAGGCCGGTGTTTCAGGACGTCAGCCTTGCATCCAGGGCCATGCAAACCGCTGGGCAACGAAGCCAGCAGCGCCGACACTACAGCATTCGTGACTGCAATGCCCAGCTGAGGCTCGCATGAAAACGATTGGGAATCAAGAAGATGGTTCAAATGCGAAGAGAAAGCTTGATGAACCTAACGTTGGCATGATTCAGGCTGGCTCATGCGAAGCATGATGGCCCAAGCACGCAAGATCGCACGAGCATGCCCCATGCTCATGCTGCTTCTTTGCCAAGTCTCAGTCCAAGTTGCTAGGGCCTACCCTAACTCGGCAAGATCGCGACAGGAAGGATGCCAAGGAGGCTGTTTGTTGAGTCGTTTTGTAGGGACAAGTGCTTTTTTACTCCCTGTGATGCCCTTCGTGCCTCTCCAAACCCAGTTTTGAGGGCGGGCAGAAGGACGGAAAAGGTGTTGAACAACTGTTTCGCAAAAGATGCCCAAGGCCTTGCGGCGCTCACTGACTTTGCTGAGTGTGCTAACCCTGCCCGCTACGAAAATCTGAGGTCAAGCTGGCAAACCATACGGAGAAACTGCAGTGCTTCTTCGCCAGAGGTCGAAGGTAGCTGGTTTACAGAGTGGTGGAAGGACTCAAAGCACTAACTGCGGAAGGTGATGCACATTCACCGATTTCCAAAAGAAGGCAAACAAGTTGCCCGCGCTCCTTCCACTAGCACAGAACTACCACACAACCCGCCAGCTCCTGAGCAAACGCGGGCTGCTGGCCCGCACGCCTTTCCACTACCACAAAACACGCCCCCAGCTCTTAAGCAAGCACAAAGCATGCCCCCCCCCAGCTCTTGAGCCAGCTCGGGCTGCCGGCACCAACGCCATTTCACTACCACAAAACGCCATTCCACTAACACGCGGCCCAGCTCTTAAGCAAGCGCGGGCTGCCGGCCCGCACATTCTTCGCTATCACACGCCCCCCCACCCCCCAGCCCTTAAGCAAGTGCAGGCTGCCAGACCGCACGCCTTCCACTACAACAAAAACAAGCCCACCCAGCTCTTAAGCAAGCGCGGGCTGCTGGCCCGCACGCCTTTCCACTACCACAAAACACATCCCCCCCACTGTTAAGCAAGCGCAGCTGCCGGCCCGCACGCATTTCCACTACCACAAAACATGCCCCCCAGCTCTTAAACGCGCGCAGGCTGCCGGCCCGCATGATTTTCCACTACCACAAAACAACCCCCCCCCCCCAGCTCTTAAGCAAGCGCGGGCGGCCAGCCCGCACGCCTTTCCATTACCACATAACACACCCTCCCCCCCAGAGTGGCGTCCACCGAGGTGCTCTGGTGCAATGCTCTAAGGGGGACTGAGATAACACAGAGAGACTAGAGGAGAGACTAAAAGCGCGTCGTCAATTGATCAGGCTCTGGTTCCGAGGGTAGTTTGACAAGGAAGACTTGCGCGGCATCTTGTCCAGTGATCTCTTTGCCTGAAAAGAGACAAGAGAGACACGAGGGCAGAGGCGACACAAGGAGATAAGCTCGCTAGGCACAAACAGAGCGGGGCGTCCAGCGATCTGGTTTTGCGTCTAGAAGGGAGCAACAAGCGAGCCCAGAGAGGGGGCGTTTGGTGATTTGGTTCTGCGTCTCTAGGCTCCGAACACTCACACCCCCCAGCAACCTTAAACCCTAAGCTTACAAACCCAACCCTAAACCCTTATATAAACCTAAAGCCACCATGAACAACCGGGGCATAGTGAAAATTTCCTGAAAACCCGAAACCCAACAGCCCCGAACCCATCGTTGAACCACGGGGGGGGGGGGGTAAATTTCACTGGGGACGGGGGGCGTGAATGCTGGCTGGTGCATATAGAGGAAGACAAGAAGGGAGGCAAGAAAGGGGGATGCGCCCCTGTCTCTGTGTCTAGGTGGCGCGTGTGAGACATGGAAACAAGATGGCAATCACAATTTCGGGGCGGAGGAAGGGCACGATTGAATTTTGAACCCCTACAGAAACTGCTTGGGGAGAAAAGCCAAGCTAAGCTGGAAAGGGTACTGCGGGCACTCGCAAGCACGAGGCCCCCGTCCCTACTGAGTTCGTCCCATGCACCAAGTGTTTTCATTACCAGCTTCGCCTCTCTCACTCCACAGGCGGGTGATGGTAATGTTTCGATGTCTTCAGGGTTTGCAGGTGCAGTGGATTGCGGTGGCAATACCATGAAGACCTGAAGCATTAAGGTGCTGATTGCGGCAGTTGAGGATGTTGCATACACAATGCTGCGTTTCTAAGCCCGTGGCAACCTGCGCACCCCCAAAATCCCCCAAAAACCCGGAAACCATCATGTCGTTCTCAGCTCTCGATGTCGGCATGGCTCCTTCTCGCAGGCACTGATGCCTGGGAAGCCGATGAATGCAAGGGGTGGGTTGGGGGCTAAGGGGGTTAAAAAGAGTTCATCTTTACTCTATTGTCACTCTCGGTAACAGGCCAGCCTGCAAAGTTGCTTTCCACCCTGCTGCAACCTGGCTCAGACTCAACTACAAGCCCTTCCGCCTCAATGTCGCTCTATCTTCTGGCAGCTCTAGCCGTGGATTGTGCTCTGGGGAACCCTTGAATTTAATGGTAACACTTACTTCCCCAATAACCATGGGAAAAAAAAGGTTAAACTTCATTATTCCTACTAAATAAGGAAACCCAAAAAGTTTGAAGTTCAGCTTTGGGAGACGTAAGAACAGGTCAAGAGAAATAGTGCTGAAAACAGGCTGTTGTCGGAAATTGTTGCTGTCCACCATGCTCCAATTGACGAGCCTCAACTTGCAATCTACCGAGCTGAGAGGCCCCGGTTTAGCGACCCTTCAGAACAAGTCGCTGGTGTTGTAGACAACGTGGTCCCGAACGATGCTGTAAGTCCTCATGTCCTGCCGAGGGAAGACATGCGCTGGCAGTGCCTGGAAAAGACTTTATGGCCTTTAGGGCTCGGACAGCTTGTTCGCGAAATCCAAACAAATAAGGCTTTTCCATCTTGCGGTTTAGGATGCTTTGCGCTCGAGGCAAAGCCCGTGTCAGTCTTCACTCGCGTTCACCCAACCACGCCAGCATTCCCAAAGGAAACCTCATCCCCAGAAACAGCGACAAAGATCTCCGATGCAGCAGAATGATAGCCCAGGAGTACATCTGGCTAAGAAGGAAATCCATACCGTGAGGACATTCGGGTACTCCTCACAAGCTCATTTTCCCTAAGCCGGCCGTATCGGCCCGCCATGCCAATCACTGTGGCTCCTCCAGCAAACCTCGGATCTGCGCGCTATTTGTGGGCTTCGAGGCTTTCAAACTCTCGGACCTTCCGAGAAGATGCAAGTGACATGGACATAATGCAATGGGATTTCGGCAGAAAGCCCGCGCCTCAGACATTGAGGCAAGGAAACGTTTCGCTCCAACTAGACCTGAAACTGTGCAAGCTGCAACATGCCGCAACATGCTGCAAGCCTACAATAAGAGTCGACTGGCCACGGAACGAAGCACCATGGCCCACTGCTGGAGTTCAGAGCAGACTTTCATGGCGCTGCTGTAGGTGTATCGGTCCTGTTCGCAGGCTGTTCTGTTTGTTTGTCAATGTTTGTCAAGACGTTGACTTGTTGCAGGTCTACATGGGTTTCTGAAGGAGCATGTGCATGCGGACCGAGTAGAAGTTGCGGCTCAGGGTTTGCATGGGACAGTCGGTCCGCTGAACCCTTGCGGGAGGCCTTGTGGGAACGTTGTAGGAACTCTGCAATCCCTGCAGCCCTAGTGGCATGACCTTGGAACTGCCCCGCGCTGCCTTCAGTAGGTGAAATCGGACTTCAGTTGCAAGTCTGGTCCGCACACTTGAATCCTAAACCCTACGCCAAACAGCAACACCTCGGTCATCCTCTGCCCCTGATTCGGCAGCCTGTGCTATCGAGGCCAGTGGCATCTCAGTGAAGAGATGCCAAGCACGCTCAAAACGGCCGGCCCTGGCGAGGCACAACTCGTTGCTCTTTAGCGACCCCTCTTCGAGTCTAAGTCTTTGAAGGTTACCTTTTCAGGCTTTGTCTAGAGCCTCAAAGACACCACCAAAACGGGCAAACTCTGTGAAGCACTGAAGCACGCAGTTTCCAGCACGAGAAGCTCAAGTTTGCTGCGGACCCGGACACAGATGAACCCTGGACTTCTAACTTGAAGACATCATTCCACCCCCTGTGCACATAGCCGGTTTTCGTGCTGCTGCCAGAGCAAGTTGTTTACGGTGGCACGGATGTCTCTTGATGAGCCGGCTCTCTCTGGCAACCACTTCTTTTGAATCTTGCTGCTAACTACTAACATAGGCCCAGCTGGTCCGACTTCACGAGAACACCCATGACTCAACAGTGTGCAAGCGCCGCTGATCACTTCCTGCCGAAGACTTCTCCATCAGAACTGTGGGGGCATTCCTGGCATTCCGGGCATTCCTGGCATGCCCGGCATGCCGCCCATCTTGGGCATTCCACCTGGCATTCCACCTGGCATTCCGCCTGGCATTCCGCCTGGCATTCCACCTGGCATCCCACCTGGCATTCCGCCAGGTGGCATTCCAGGCATGCCGGGCATCCCGCCCATCTTGGGGTAACCACCACCTGGTGCACCGCCTGGCATGGGAGGCGCCATTCCTGGAGCCTTGCCGGGCATGCCGCCAGGCACCGTGAGACCTGGTAGGTTGGGGAGGCTGGGCATCCCGCCAGGGAGGCCCATGCTGGGTGGTGGGGTTGCGGCTGGCATGCCGGGCTTTGGTGGGATGCCGGTGGGTCCTGCGGGCGAAGTCGCTGCTCCTGGCATGCTGGGCATGCCGGGCATACCGGGCATGCCAGGCATTCCGGGCAGTCCTGGCAAGCTTGGCAGCTTGGGAAGCTCGGGAAGGCCAGGCAAAGAGGGCAGCCCCGCCTTTGCAGGCACGCCTCCAGCTGCCGGGGTTGGCTCGGGCTTCTTTTCGGGAGGTGGGGCCTTTGGCCGCTTGGGCATGACCGTGTGGTCCCGGCGGAACTTGCTGCCGGCACGCTTGCGCTGCGAAAGGGTCAACGTGATGCCATCACTGAGGTTGTAGTACGCGAAAGTGAATCGCTCCTTTGCGGAGGACTGTGCCACAACAACAGCAAAACACTCAAATCAACCAGATATGCAATGGCTATGAGGGCAAGAAAATAATCTGGTTGTCTACATGACTGCGAATTCTCAGGAGTGCTCTGCTGCTAGGCATGGAAACTCACGCATCGGTCGCTGTCGTGTGTCTTGACGTCGGTTGGGTTGCACGGTGGTGGTGTTGATTTCGATGGTGATGACTACACTGTGTTCCTTACCTGGCTGTCTGGTTGTCCCCATCTAGCTGACCTCGAGAGCTTAGCGTGGCGTTCGTCTTGGCCTGCTTGGTGTTCAATGCCATGTTGGAGCCGACGATTGCAGGAACATTGGGGTCTAGGTGCAGGTGGATGTTGTTCAACGATGTCGAGGGAGTGATTGTGGCTGGGAATGGATGCTGTTCAGGGGCAGTGGGGCCCATGACCTATTGTGCTAAAGGGGCCTCCGACCAAAATAGAAAGGTCCATGGGGCCCATGACGTCCTGGAACAGGCATTTGTTGCCGTGCGTTTGGGTTGATGTATCTCCGAAGTACACTCAACTCTGCAACCCATATCCGCGCCCACGGCTGGGACAAAACAGCAGCTGCTCCTTCAAGAAGAAACCGACCGGCTCGTTGTGAAGCCTCAGCAAGACTTCTCCCAACGATTGGGCGCATGGGTTCACATGAAGGTAGCTTGTTAGCAGGTCCTGCTGGTACGGTACCACGTGCGAGTCTGAGGCAAGAGCATCATGCGATTCGCTGGAATCGAGCGAACTCCCATGGCGACAAGCTTCGCCTGGCATCAGGGTATCTGAGGTGCCACAGAAAGGCTTATGCCCTGGGTGTTTTTCAGGTGTTTGGAACTTCGACGGCTTGGGGCAACAGCAGTGAAATGGCTACAACAACCCCCCCCCCCCCCCCCAAGCTTCAAACTCAAACCTACGCCCCGTAAACCTTGATATGTCACGAGACAGGACTGCAGTGCAGTCAAGCTAGCTAGGGCCCTAGGGCCCTTTGCGCAGGCACCCTCGTATCTACTTGGCCGTTCCAAGGGCTTGAGGCTGAGCCCTTTTGTCTTGGACCAAACACGTAGTTGAAGCCCGAGCAACCGGAACCCTAACATAGTAAAACCATGTAAGACCTAAGATCTCGAGCCCGAAGTACAGTAGCCTATGTCAGAGGAAGCGGCCTTTACCGCAGCGCAGGTCTCCGTGAGGGGCAGCTCCACAGTCACGCTGTTCCTTTTCCAATCTTTGGGCTTGAAGCCTTAAGCTTCTGAGGTTTCTTAAGTTAGCTTAGTTTCTTTTCGTGAGGCCAACGGAAGGAAATCAAGTCCGAGCTCTGACACTTTGGGACAAGCAGCATAATGCAAAATCCGTCTGAAGTGCCTTCAACTTCAGTGTGGCTAACCCTTAGGCACACGCTAAACCTTGAACACGGAGCCTCCAAGAAGCTTTAGGGCTCTTAGCATCTCTGTTTTGACGAAGCTTCATACCGAGCTCGCTCTCCACGACGCTCCTGGGCAAGTTACGGTTTGGTTAGGGCTTTGGGGTGGAAGCTGCTCATGGGCTCCAGGGTTTAAGGATAGAAGAACACAAAGGCCAAACCTCAACCCCCTTTTTTTTAATGCTTCGGAGCTAGTTCCTTTAGGTTTGAGCGCCGGGCAATCTAGCCACGTTCCCAGATGGGCTACAAGAGCCGTAAACCTTCAACGGGCGAAACGACTTTTCCACACATCGCCACAGGTTTTGAAGGGAACGGTCGTCCTCATTCTTGCTTAAGCTATTCTGAGGAGTTTGGGTGCACCGGCATTGATCCGAGTAGAGTCTGCCGTTAAAGGGAACGGTCGTCCTCATTTTTGCTTAAGCTATTCTGAGGAATTTGGGTGCACCGGCATGGATCCAAGTAGAGTCTACCGTTAAAGGTCCTCATTCTTGCTTAAGCTATTCTGAGGAATTTGGGTGCGCCGGCATGGATCCGAGTAGGGTCTGCCATTAAACATTTGCCCTAGACCGCTGCTTAATTGCACACAAATGCACACGTAAGACATTCTCATGCTATCAGTGTAAACCCTTTCTGCTTAAAGCATATTAATGGTGATTAACACTCTACACGGTGAACATATTTCAAGGGCGATTTTTTGAAATCTCCATTTAAAGGGTGTTGATAACAACTCTACACGATGGATCTTCCATTTGCAGATTCCCGTGTAGACTAGGCCATGTCTCTAAAGCTTGAGATTCCCACACTAATGCCGCCGCTCTAAATGCAGATACACTTCTCAAGCCTTGCTCGCAACTACGATATGCCCTGATAAACGTTGTCGCATGAGGCATACTACTTTTCATCTCTGTAGATAGACATGGCTACTCGGTGGTAGAGTTATCTCACCTCACCCGGTGAGAACATATGCAGCAGCCCAAGTAGACAGAAAACGCGCATCAATCGCAGAAATATGCAACAGGGAATACGAATCCCCAAGTAGACGCTGCGTTGGAAGCATGCAGAAACCGCATAGGTGGCAGACGCCAAGGTATTTACGCATTTTTTATGCAGTTCTGCTTCCGCGTCAAGCAGGCATCCCCCAAGAAAAATTCATGAAGCCACCGCGAAGTATGTAACGCTGTTCCGTTATATAAGAACCCAGATTTGTGGGTCAGGCCACTTCATCAGGGCTATACAGATCACTAGAGTCTCGACACAAACCGCTCCTACTTCTGAGGGGTGGTGCGGAACAAAGCGCACCTAGCGTTTTCAAGCAGCCGTGTTCAAGTTGCTGGTGGTGCTGGTCCGTGGCATTCCGTTGGTACATGAGTCTGCTCTTGACCAGATAAACAGTGCGACCGAAAAGAAATTGACAAAGAAAAGGTAGACACTCTTCACATGTGAATGGAGCAACTTGTCCCGGCTGTAAAGTGACCACGCCGGCCAAACAGCTGATTGTGCACGATACTAGCAGCTAGCATGAAACCTGGTTTCTGCAAGTAGACGCTGCGCACTGCGCGACGTACAAAAAACACGCGCCACGTGAGATAAACCCACCCCTTGTATGGCTCTCTCTCTCTCTCTCTCTCTCTCTCTCGCACGCACAGACACACACACACACACACACACACACTCGTTCTCACTCTTCGTCGTCGTGTTCTTCTGCATGCCTAAGGTGCCCGAAGCCCTGGGCTCTTTCAGCAGGGTGCCCTGGTGTACGAAAATCACAGATGAAACTGTGAGCCGCTGTTGACCACGACCGGCACTTCAGTTTTTGACATTCCACGATACAAGCTTAGCCGCCCTTGTGCCAATCGTCTTCCCTGTGGGGAGGGAAGACTGAACCCCAAACGTAACTCTCACCCATGCCAGACAACCTCCTGCACATGAGGCTTTGCCCCACCTCCACCTCGCCTCAACCCAACAACCCTTGCCCACTCACTGCCTGCAGACCTCCCCTCACCTCGAAACCCATGTGTAACACCTCGCTCTTTGGAGGGCACTGTGACGCAGCCTGTAGGTTGGTAAGCCCCTTTCTGCTTGTGGTGTGGACATCTCCTTGTTGCCCATGGAGATATCCCGGCAGGTCTTGTTATTCCAGATTCCGCGTAGAGCCTGAATCATGTCCGTAATCCTGTGTGCAACTGCTCAATCGACGCCTTCATTGCTATGGAGGTTCTGGAATCAACCCATTTCATGTTGAGATTCTCCAATAAATCGCTTGCCGAGGTGTGGGGCATAGAGACGCCCGGTCCAGCCCCCAGATGTAATGATGCCTTCCCTCTCCTCCCCTGCAACCCCATTCCAGATCATACAGCGTCTCATGCTTCAGGTCCTTTCAACTGCTTCTTCTATGCCAGGAAAGTTTGGAAATGAAGTCGAAGAGACACAAACACCTGGTGACCTGGCGTGAGGAAGAACAGGGGCCCCACCACAGCATCACACCCCGAACAAGACCCTCAAGGACCCCTGGATCCTACAGCAGACAAGACCTGCAAAGGCGAACACATCAAACCGTCCTAAGATTCTTGGGCCCAGCGGCACGTCCACATTGATCTTGATAGGGGTCTCACCCTTCTCGTCCAGCCAATCCTCCCCGGTGCCCGGCCCACCCCTGTCCAGCAGCTGGTGGTCTGAGAGTGGAGCAGGGTACTGTACAAGCCTATAGAAGTGGCCTTGAACCTCAACCCTGAACGAGCCTGATCCCCTACATGTTCCTTCAAGCCTTGGAAGCCCGCAAGCAAAGGGTCCCAAAGTTCTCAAGTTCACAACTTTTCGCAAGACTTTAGGCGGCTGGGTCTCTTCACACCTACACCAATCCCCCCCCCCCCCCCCCCGCCCTGCGCCGGCATGCTGGCTGCTCCGCCTCCTTTGAGGGTCAAGTCAAAGGGCCAAGGTTTCAGCGCTCCTGTTCGCTCTTGAGCTCAATTTGCCTCTGCTTCGGCGTGGCCATCCTTGGGAGGCTTGCTTTGCCTAGTGGAGCAAGGGTGCATGGAAGTGCACAAGCTCTGGGGCTTGCAGAGGTGCCTCGGTTTACGGTTTCTATCTTCAAGCCCAACCTCAATTCCTGCAGATTCCTGCACCGACAAGTAGCGCCACGAGGGCTGTGCGCCACGGGTCGATAGCTCCTGCCCCACCATGGCCAAACTCCAATTCTCACGCACTGCCTCACTACCCCCCTCAGCACCCCAAAGGCCAAAGCCAAGAGCAACAACACTCGCAACAACACTCGTTCAGATAGTCGCCAGGGCCGTTGGGGCCCCAAGCAGTTCTGGTGTTGTTGATGGGTTTTGAAAGCTCAGGAAATCAGAAAGCTTTTGGAATTCGGGTAGCTCGTAGCTAGTGTAGCTGCAGTGTAGCTTGGGGCTTTGAGCTGGTAAGTTTCCTGTAGAGGTCTACAGGCGAATTAGCCTACTTTGGAGATCGTGACGCTCTTAAAGGGCGAGCCTGGACAGGCATTTGCGTGCAACATCCCGACTGTGAGAGAGTTGCGCAGAGTGCAGACCCAGGGCTCCTAGACCCCGTGCATCGAGACAGCCAGTCTTGGCTTTGTCGCCTGAGCTAAGGAGCATACCAAAGGGTTTTGGGAACAAAGCGAGGAGGACGAAAGCGTTTGAAGGGCCGGGGACGCGGAGTGGATGCATTGTCGTAGGAGCTGAGGCACGGCGTGGAGAGTTGAAATGTGTGTTGCTAGGCTTTCTCATGGTGCTGTGTGACATGACTTCCCATTAAATTGCAGATCCCCATCCGAAGCTCCATTTACGTGTGGCATGGATGACAATCGAGGCCTTACGAACTCCGAAGATTGTCTGAGACCATGCGGCCCAAGTGGCATGTGGCAATCAAAAACCCACTCTTTGAGCGGGCATTGGCCACCTGAGAGATGAAGCCCAATGCTCAAACCTTTGGCTAGACCGCGACGTTAACCTACGAATTGAAGGACCTTTGCTGGCCTCAAGAAAGGCACTCTGTGAAAATGCCCGAAGACACAATGCCTATTCAAGGTCAGTGTCCCCTGCCTAGGCCTCAGAGCAAACCTCCTGCCAGTGTTTTCCTTCCACTAGGTATCTGGCGTAAATTCGCTCCGTCTCCATATGGTTCAGGACCCGAGACTGAAGGTTCTCGTTCAGAGAGGCAAAGACCGTAATGGCACCTTGGTCGAAGGCAAGTCAACACCGAGCGGTTCAAGGGGAATGCGAGTGACTGAGGTGAAAGCACACTTTGGCACAACCCACAGAGATCACCGCGCACGGTGCAGTGTTAGCCCCATAACATGCGCTTAATGTGGCTCTGTGTCTTCTCTCAACACAAGATCCGACAGAGCATGCTAAAACCTTGTAAGGGACCGACAGCCGAGTCCCGAGAGTTCGGAGCCCCAATCCGAAAACTCAGAGCACCCGAATGCGGCTGTGCGACGGAGATCAAGGTCACCTTCCTTCAGCAGGCCTTCTTCGAACAACTTCTCCAAGCCTTCACAAGAGGAGAACCAAGTTCGCGAAGAAGGCATCCCGTACTCATGAGGCTTCTGGAGCGTTTTTTTCATTGGGGTTCAGATCGTCGGGCTTCGTTCAAGTGGGGTTTACGATCTACATCACGAAGCCGGAGAAATTCGGAAGCTCTTGGGGGCAGATTTTGCAGAAATCGCCCCTGAACCTTTCCACTCGGGAAGACAAAAAGCAATCGACCAAGCCACAAAAGTCCGAAGAAAGGTTTTGGGTTTCGGGCTTCGTATGATTCAAGCTTCTATCTGAGACAGCCCCACCACTGAAAATGCAAAGTGGCGAGATTCATTAGTGCAACAGGGACCAGCGAGCAAAAGTTGAAGTCCAGGCTGGTCTCTGGGCTTTGTTTGATGGGCTTGGTGGGTTCCGGGTCCACTGGATTCGAGCCGCGTTCGCGGATGTCTGTTGGCAGCTGCTTGATGGCCACTGCGACAATCTCCTGCTCGCCTTGACAAAGCCGAAACAGAATCTGCTTGCAGAAAAAGCAATGCGTGTGCATGACCTGTGCGTGCTGCAGATTCTGCAGCTCCAACTAGTTTTGTCAGGTTGCCACTTCGTACTGTTGATTCTCCAACCCGACCCTCCCCTTATCTCCATGCCCAAAACGCTGGAAACAAATACCTGGCCCGTTGAAAGGCGAAGCAGTCCAAGGTGCTGTTTCCTGCCTTAGCGGCCGAGGAAACATCCTTGGGACCATCGCGAGATCGAGATCCTCAGAGCAAGGATCGGGGGAAAGCTACTGACGTTGCCGTTTGAAGCTCTAAGGCCCTGCACTTCCAAATTCCAAACCCTTGGAGCCTTCTTTAAGGGTTTGGCTGGAAGGAGGGGACATCTTTCTCAAGGCAAAACCTGTTTTTTCATTCCAAAGGCTACTATATGTCACGAGAAACCATCTCAACCTATCTCAAACGCTGCAACCTCAAGCCCATCAATGCGTCACTGGTGCGACTGCGGTCTCCCATGGCTGCAGCAGGTGACGGGCCCCTTTCCCTAAGCGTCTTGAGGCCGATCTGCTGCGTCGTCGTGGAGGGTCGAGACTTCTTGGTTTGGGGTTGTGGTTCGGCCCAGGGCTAAAGCATCTGTTCAGTTTCTCAGGATCTCTTTCTCAGTATCTCATCGTTGCCTCCTTCTTTCTCGGCTGAAAGGCCACAGGGATCTGAAAACAAGTGCATTGTGTGAACGGCCCAACAGCCACCCCAAACGAAGCTCCAAAAAAACGACCTTGTAACAACTCGCGACATCCAGCGCACAAGAGATGCCTCCAACACATCGTTTTGCGTGTCGCAAAACGGGCTGCAAGTTGTGGATCTGCACCCGTTTGCCCGAACCCCGTAAAGCCATCCTAACACCCCAAAAACTTAGACTCAGACCATGAACGAAATTCATGTTACCTCTCCGGCCTTGAGCATGCAGCGATCGAAGCGTTGTATGTCACCTCTGTCTGCAGAAAAAGGAGTGTTCGGCGGAGGTGTTTTCTCCCGAACTTGGCGCCCCTTTGTTTTTCCCGAAGGCCCAACTGCTATTCAACACCGCGAGTTCAAAGGCCCCACATGCTGTAAATTACAGAATTCTAGGTGCTGGTGTACAACACTATTGGCTGCGCACAAGATTACTGTGCACAAGATCAGAGGCAAACAAAAAGAGCTTCCAAGTGTTGGATTTCTTCGAACTGACTATCTAGGGTATATGAACTTAGGCTTGAACACAGGATTCGATACTGATACCAGCAGCATCAATAAGCAAAAACAACAAAAACAACTTTTTCAGAGAAATGAGAAGGATCTAGAAAAAGTCATTTTTTGATGCTTTTTGGGTTCCTTTTGGGTTTCCGCAGTCAGAAGATGGTTGTCTGACCGAAACTAACTTTTTACTGGGGACAAGCTGGTATTTCTCAGCGAAACCAACTTTTCACTAGGGAAAAGTTCGTACTCTTCACCAACAAAAAGTACGCTTAAAATTTCCCGAGTAAAGAAGATTTTTCCGAATCCCTAGTAACAACGTTGGTCTTGGTGAAAAAACCAACTTTTCCCTAGCAAAAATTGGTCACAAACCCACCCTTTTTTAAGGAAATCCAAATCGCAACATTGCTCTGTAAACCCTTTCTGTTTTGTAGTCCTCATAACCCCGAGGCATACTCAATCAATACACAAGACAAGAAAGCGTGATAGATATCTGATTATAGGTCTATGATCATGTCTTCGGCCGAGGTGGTGTACTATATCTTTCTCGCAATGTGAAGATCAATCTCCAGCAACGATGTCTTTTAAGGACGTGCATGCAAAACACATTATCTCACGATATTCGACCAGTAGGATAAACCTTTCTTTCGTCACCGCGAATTCGTCTTGCAAGTGCCATTATGCGTTTCCAAAGAAATGATTTTCCAGGCAGAGCATAGGATATCATATTATGTATTTAAGTAACAGCTTTTTAGACTCGTTTCGAAATGTATATTTCGTTTAATATATTGGTTGCACTCAAGAGTCTTGTAGCTAGTACTGAAATACTGTGGATGGACAAAATCTTGCACCGCTTTTCAGAAACGTCTTTTTGCGTTCCCCGTGCACCCTTTTTAACATTGGCTGTGAAAAGCTACCGGCCGGATTTGCTCCACTGGCCGAAATCTTGCACCGCTCAAAGAGTCCCAGCCGCCAACGTTAAGCAGGGGGTGCGGGGTTTGATGCCTCGATCGTTTCAAGTACGCATGTACTGGTGGTGCAAGATTGCGTCCATCCACCGAAGGGCAAAAGTCGATCTTTTGCGCACCTACACTAACTGGAAGCTGAGAGCGCGCGCCCACCCATTTCTAGGGTGCCTGGGCTCGGGACACACGACACAGCCATTCATTCCATCTACAATCGACGCTACAGTCAACGCTGCGAAAAGCTGTTCTTGACATTAAGAAGCTTAACGACACTGTATTTCCTGCGAATGCAGCAAATGCATGCAAAATGACAGTCAACACTCAGTCAACACTCAGTCAACACTCAGTCAACACTACAGTCAACACGACAGTCAACACTGCCAAAATGCTGGAATATCCAGCATTTTGCCGTTCTGGGCATTAAGAAGCTAAAACAACGCATTTTTCCTTTAAAACGAGTGAATTGTGGAATCTGCTGGTTTCCCAGGGTTTTCGTCGTGTTGACTGTAGTGTTGACTGTAGTGTTGACTGTAGTGTTGACTGAGTGTTCACTGAGTGTTGACTGTAATTTTGCACGCATTTGAGGCACCTTGGGAATGCAAAACTGCACCCCAGCAAAGTAAAAGTCGTTGAAGCCATAGCTAATCACTCACGCTCGTAGAGCATACCTGGCAACACTCGCCGAAAGGGACTGTGGATGGACAAAATATTGCACCGCTTTTCAGAAACGTCTTTTTGTGTTCCCCGTGCACCCTTTTAAACATTGGCTGTGAAAAGCTACCGGCCGGATTTGCTCCACTGGCCGAAATCTTGCACCGCTTAAAGAGTCCCAGCCGCCAATGTTAAGCAGGGGGTGCGGGGTTTTGATGCCTCAATCGTTTCAAGTACGCATGTACTGGTGGTGCAAGATTGCGCACTGAAAAAGCATTGGACGATTCAATATGTGTTCTATGAGTGTTAACTCCGCATGTACTGAGTAATGACTCTTTCGTTTGACGCATAGGCTGTTTTCTTTGTACTTATATACTTCGCTACTGCATGCGATTCATGTTGAGTATTCGATCATATTATCATATTTGATCAATGTTTTGCCTGGTGGAAGCACTACTTGCTCAAACAAGGAGTTCCAAAAACCAACAACCAGAGCTGTCTGTCCGTAAAACAAATCCAATGCTGGCTTGTCAGCCTCTGACGTGGGTGTCCCAGTAGCTGTCCTTCATTACCCGGTGAGCGACTCTGAGATAAGAAAAGAAGAGCCCACACGAAAGGACATAACCCAAGCAATTCTTAAGTGACATGAGTTTAAGTCTTCCCGCATATGCTGTTTTGTTTACATTCACCTAATCGGCATTTATCTTGTACCTCTTTCTATATCTACCTTATACCTTTGTGTTTAATTTAAGTAAGACTTAGTTCATGTATTAATTGTATTCAAGGTCCTTTTCAATCAGTAATGAAATCGCATTGGATGTAGAACGCAAGAAGTGTATACTTGGTACTTCCTTAGTATATCCAATTCGCAATTAGTATTAGATCAGTATTTGCTTGGTGCAAGCAGTACTTTATCCAGAAGAAGCACTGTTTGCCTAGATGACCAAACAGCTACGGGATGTCTATACTGGTTGATTTCAAACAATATGTGAATATGTAAAGAAAGATGTCTATTTTCCGAGATACATCGCCTCCCGCTAGGTCAGGGGGGAGGTGAGCTATATGACCCCCGCCCCTCCCACATGACCGTGGTCTGTTTCGGTCGTAAGGCCGTTTAAAACCCACCCGTTCCATGTACAAATGAGGAGGATCTAGAAAGGGTTTCCCTAGTCAGAAGATGGACTTCTGACCAAACTTTCTACTGTACTTGGGAAAGGTTCAAATCCATCTTTTTACCAGGGAAAAGCTTTTCTAGGAAAAAATTGGTTTTCCTCTTAAAACCAACTTTTTACTAGGGGCAAGTTGCTTTTTCTAAAGACAACTTTTTCCTAGGGAAAAGTTGTCGTTTTGAACAAGTTTCACCACCGAACGGAATTCATCTCCCATCTTGCAGCTTAGCAGCAGTGTCCTTCCGAACACTCCTCTCCTCCATGAGACCTGGTTGCAGAGTTGTACGTGTTCAGGGACTTGATCCATGCAACACCCAGTCCTAAAACCCCAATTTCCGCACCACCTACAATTCAAACCCCTAAAGAATTCCAACGTTTAATTCTCGAAGCTTTGGCTCAGGTGCGGAAGCACTCTTGCGAGAGCTGCCAGTGACTGGAGCGACCCAGGGTGCTGATGCTGACCTCATGCGCTTCGGCGGTAGAACCATGCAGAGCCGTGGTGCTGCGCGTTTTCTTCAGCGGTGGGAGGGGCGTTTGATTGGCTTGTTGGTTGAGGCCTTGCAGAGCTGCCGCGCGCGCACAGGGAACTCACATCTTCCACGGCAATGTGTTTGCAGCTGGGCCAGAGTCCAAAGCCCAAAAGGGTCTAGCATTCAACCTTTCAACCCTCAACCGCATGCCGGCAGGATGCATTGTAGTGCTGAACGTTGGGCTCCAGCTTCTCATCCAACATAGTCTGAAGCATGGCGACCTTTCTGACTGGTTATGGCTTGGGGGATTTTCAAAGCGGCCTACACAAACCTTTTGCAACCTTCGAAAAGCCTTTAGAAGCTGGGCGGCGACACCCTCGCCGTGCTGCCGCTTGAGTGCCGTGGTCGCCTGAGCGTAAGCTTGCTGTATACGGTTTTCATTTGAATCCTTGCGTTTTGTGATTGCTGAATGCCTGAAAGAGGCGACGGCAATCGCTCAATCGCTCACACGTTTGCAGGCGTCGCTGTAAGGGTCCAGGGCTCCAGGCCCGCTGCTGCTAGGCTTCTTTGCAATGCAGGGGCAGAAGGCTCTCCTCTAAACCTTGCAACCAGCGCATTGCGCGTGTCCCACCTTGCGCGGGTCCGAGGCTGAGCTGGAGAGCCTTAGCCATGTCCGGCAGCCTAACAAGAACCACCTTTTGGGAATTTGTTTTTGCAACAGAGCATGAAGGGGGGAAGGAGTAGCAGTGAGTAGCAGCCTACATCCTCGCACATTCTCAATCTGATTTCCGGACTTCTCCCATTTCGAAACTGACCCGCAGGTGCATGTAAAAACATTGTTCTGATTGGCTACCTCCTCCCGCCCACCTGGCGTGCACTGCGCGGGAGACTGCACCCATGGAGGATGCGGCTGGACATGAGGCAAGGATTCGGGCACTGCTCAGCTGGAAAAGTTATTGGATACGCGCTGAGGGTTTTGGGATTGCAAAAGAGGTTGCGGGGATGGGCATGTGTCCGTAGGAGGCTTG